ATTGTTTTACTTTGCGTCAACGGAGTTTGTATCGATAAGAATTCAAGATGTATTGCAAAAAAATAATTTTTCGACGTGAAACCCGTAATTTTTTTCTACTTCTAACTGTACATTTTTCAAAAAATTACTACTCTAAAAATTATTCTTAAAATTTTTACATCAAACGGGCTCTAATACTTTCTCACGAGTTAATCAAAAATTGGTCCTCTAAAAAACATCGGTGTAGTAGTTACTATTTGCTAGCATTGCATATAATGGCACACAATTATGTCAAATTAAACAACTAAACTACGTACAAAGTTGTAGCCACCAGTTCATAATTGAGGCTTTCCGGCAATAATGTCTTCTGCTTCAAACTTGGCATGATTTTATTTCTTGTATTAAGTATTATTTATTCTAAAATAATTTTTTAAGTTGCACATTTTCACTTGAATCGAGTTAATCGATCTGCATAGAAGTTTATAGAGCAAGAGTATTTTCTTCTATCAACGACTACAGTAATAAAATTTAATTAATTTAGAATTGAAGATGTGAATTATTTTACGTCACTCTATTCGATCCATCATTTTATCTATCGAAATTCAAAACCTATCGAGTTTTCATGAAACGCGAGGTGGTAATTTCAATTGGAAAAGTACAATTAAGTAGTTAAAATAATTTCAATGTACACTTATAGCAATAAAACAAGCTAATGGAGCTGGAACAATTATTGCTAAAACAGAAAACGTTATTTGGCAGCATTCTTCTGTGGAGCCTTAGGTTTACCTCAATAAAATATGCAACATTGAATAATTATAGGTTGAGTGCTACACTTTGCCTTTAAAATTTTGGAATAATACTTGTGTGGTTATGCTCATCTGTTTCTTTTTTTGGATTACTCTGTGTACATAGGTATACACATAGAGATTGACATAATGTGAGTGGGGTGAGACTCACGATACTGTAGCGTGGGCTCCACCTCTCACATTATGTCATCCCTTGTGTGTACATATATGTATACACCTATGTACACATAGTACTTTCTTTCTTTTTTTGGTCAACTCTTGAGCTCGTACTTGGAAAAATATTTAAATAAAAATGAAAAAAATAAAGAACTAATACGCGTAGAAGTGGAAAAATGTTTTCGTTATTTTCATTAGGCACAAATAATAATCGAGAGAGATAGTTTGTAAATTAGCTTCTACTCGAATCTTAGTCATACTGATGTAAATAGTAACTAACGAGACTTCGATATCAAGCTAGCAGGTTAGTGATTACAAAAGTTGGGGAATTAATTTGATAGTGTGGTTACATATTTTTTTCATGTGTTAGGAATTGTTAGTTAGGATAGTTAAACCACTTTTTCAATCGTATTATCCAATATATTGAATTCCACATTTTGGGGGATTTGTTAAAAATGTAGACTTCTAGTCAAATTCGGTGGACGTCTTTGGATGAGGGAATAATGCTATCTAACCCTAGTGATGCTAGAACACCTATCTAGGTGTCACATTCAATATGTCTGATTAAATAACCATGGGCCTTTGTATTTGAACGAATATATTATTTAATATCATCTATATTGTCACCTAAATTGATGTTAAAGACACCTGTGATGTTAAATTGCATTACTCCAAGCAAGGTGTTTAGATGCCTTTACAAAAACCCATGTTAGTTTTTGCTTGTCTAGACATGATTAATTGTTCTCATATCCGTGGAGAGTTCATGAATCATCTTACTAATGAAAGGATGACGAAGCCAACACGAGCCTTTTATCGGTCAATTGAAAAATATTTATTAACTTAGAACGTCAATTATCATGTACTGCGTGTCTTTCGAACATATACAACATTCTTAAAAAAAAAAAAGAAAAGAAAAGAAAATCAAGTTTATAAGACTTATCATCAACATGATTGTGCATGATGATCTTCTTACCTAAAAAACATTCGTGTGAAAAAGTGTAAAATCCCAAAAGAAAGAAAAAGAAAACTAGTTGCTCAATCTTGTCAACAAGTCCACAAACAAGATATCATTATTCACTTTGTAAAGATAATCATTCAATAACATGAATTTGGAATATAAGTAAACAATAAAACGCGTTGAACTGTCAATTTTTCAATCACTTTAATCTGTTTGTGTGTGTTTTTTCCTTAGAGAAACTACATTGTGCACTATCAAATCAAATTTGATATATTTTCTTTGGAAGAAACAAGATTTTCTATATGAACAAGTTTTAATGATTCCAATTATGCTCTAGGAATAATGATTGAGTTTAAAAGTCTTAGGAGTTATGTGCAAGTCAGTCGAGAGAAGGAATTAGTTGTCGTTTGAAAAAAAAAAAGCAGTATTACGCGTGATCAAATTTCTTAACTTGTTATTTTTCTCTTACTTTATCAAGAGCTCAAGAGATTATTTGTAGTTAAACTTGTCCTAACTTTCATTAAAATTTATTAGTATGAATATTTGTACGTTTGCTCCCCTTGTGAAAGATTTACTAGACAAAAGTTACACAATGATTTCATATTTGGATTAATCCATTTGTACAGAACTATTCACTTTACAGAATACTTACACTACTTACACCCTCTCACATGAGGGTGAGTCCCACGCAATAAAAAGAAAAAGAAAAAGAAAATTACCCACCCCCCCCCTTCCCCCTTGTGAGTATCTGTAGGTTTTCTGTATATGTATGTATAGTGTTGTTCTTCATATTTACATTTATCACAGGTGGTTCGAGTAATTTAGAGGCCTTAGCCAAGAGTTACGGACCTTTTCATAAATAACAATAAAAAATTAAAGAGCAAATGATTATCAACAAAATTTCTATCGACGATAATTTAGATGATTTTAATAAAAATTAATATATGTCAATGATTTCGGATGAAATTGTCAGCATATTATCTTGAAGGTGAAGCCCTAGAAAACCACCTTATTTATCTAGAGGTTGAGCCGACTCTAGCATTATGCCCCTGTTTGAAAGTCAAGTCAACAATTAATTTTGACCACATATTTCACGAGTCTCACAACTTTTCAACCATATATTTCGTTAATTTTTATTAAAATTTACTAACAATCTAATTTTGATTCCCACCAAATAGAGGAGTATCTCTTTCATTTTTTATCCATATACCTTTGTTATAAAAGTTAATATAAGGACAATAAAGACATTAACACACTTTCTAAAGTAAGGGCAAATAGCAACCATTTCATTACATTAAAATAAAAATAAAAAATTGTAATTTCCGATGAGTAAAATATCATAGGTTCTAATAAAAATTCAACAATCATATTTTCCTTCTACATCTACTAATCTTGTCTCGACGTCCACATTATCTTGACTTTAAACATTCAACTTAAAGAGAGAAGGGGGTGTTATATCGTAATCGAGTCTATTAAGTATTGCAAAGGCATGTGAAGAGGGCATACCTTTCAACATCATGAGGATCCCACATCTCTTTCGATCCAATCTCTCTAATATTTTTGTCTGCCAGATTGTTTTGTAACTAACAAAACATTACATAATTAGAAGCATCATTTAAGATCTCTCTCTTCCTCATGACCATGTGATACAAGTCAATATATAGATTTTATATCAGCACTAAGTGATGAATAATTGTCATTGTTTTTGGCATAGAACACGCTACAAGTGTCATATCACGCGTAGCCCTCGAATGCTTTGAACACTTGCAATATGGTAGGCAAATTCATTACAGAAAATTTATTATAATTCAAACATATTTTCAATCACACATTCTCCCAATAAAATAATTTTACACGTAATTCAAAAATGTTCTCTATTTTTTAAATGAGCATTCTAAGAAAAATCACTTTTTTAGAATATTGAAGTTCAAATAGATAAGTAAAAGAAGTTAAAATTTAGAGTAATGTTATTTATCCCTCGTTAGACAACCATTGTTTGGGGAAAAAAAAATTTTGAATAGTGATTTCTAAGAGAATGTGTGGTTAAAAAATAGGAAAAAAGTTTTGAATTTACGTACAAAATATTTTATTATTTGATTGAAAATGAGTACGTAAAAATAAAAAATTCAAATAATGGTTGTCAAACAAGGGCTTAGCTAACTTCTGTTACAACACCGATCTAGGAGGTACCAAATGACATTAACGAGTCACATAATTTTACTTTTAATTGAACTTGTTGCATAGTGTCACTTAAATTGATATTGTAACACTAATACCCTTACATAATATCAAGATTGATCTCATGCCCATAGTCATGTAAATAATATTATTCCAAATTTTATTATACCGTCCAATAATGTATAATTGTCAATTCTCCACATGGCCCACCGAACCCGGTGTTTGTTTCGACCTGCCTGCTCGAGTACTATTCCCAGTGCGAGACCTGCCTGCTCGAGTACTATTCCCAGTGCGACATTTGCACGCTATTTGACTAAGTGCAGAAATGAAGTGTGAATTCTGATGCATTTGCCTACTAATCATTGATGAGAGCTTGCCCACAATTTTTAAATTGTGTACCGATTGTGTGTGCACATACATGCATTATTATGTACAGGAAATATGGGCCTACTAAAAGGAACTGCGTAACCTGTCCAATGAACTGACTGAGAGGAGCGTTGCGAATTTGAATGCAAGGCTATTGGCATTTGGAACTGAGGGATGAAGTTGAGACGAGGTGATTTAGTTCAAGGCTATGGTCAAAAACAGACTTAGTGAGGGGGTTCAAGGCTAAGACCCGATGAGGCGGCGTGGATAGCCGCTACAAGTAAATGAATCTGAGAACAGATACACCTGAGACGCGCAGGTTAACTCTTAACAAGGTAAAACACGTAAGAACTACAAGACCACAAGGGGTAAAAAATGTCTCCAAAATCACTCACAAAAGAAAAGCACAATTTTTCTTCACGAATATCCCTAAACTACAAGTAGAAGTTCGAATAAAAGGAATCTGAAGAAGTCACAACATTTCGATCCCATCAGAATGTATTCAAATTTATAAGCTTGACACTGGTCACCTTCGATTTGACTTCTAAAATGGTAGATTAAACTCTAGCCCTCTTGTTACTGCAAGTGGGGCACTTGTACTGCTTGATGTGTTCAGCTTTAGCAGGTGTAATCTTCACACATTTTCCATGGAACCATCTCTCACACACATCACAGCAAATCCAGAATTCATCAGCACCATAGCTTTCTCCACAAGCTCCACATATTGCTCCCTGTTCGTCGTCTTCTTCTTCCTCTCCACTCTCCTCCTCATCTTTGGGTGCAGAAATCTTAACTCCCTTGTGCTCCGAATCAGGCGGACGAGACTGCCAAAAGAAGCAAAACCAGATGAAGGTACATAATTAAAGCTACTGATGAAAAGCATGTTCCGCTTAGTTTAAAAGTGAGAAGAAGTTTATTTTTAAGTTACCATTTACTTTCCTTACTTTAAAGTAAAAACACTTGCTAGTAACATACTTATTTCAATTTTGACTAAATAATTTTTATATTTTTTTTAAATTTCAAACTATTCATAAGATTACTTTTTAAGCTTAGTGAAATCAACATGCTCAAACCAAAGACCGAAGTGTGAAACAACTCTTACCATTCTCCCACCAGATTTGCTCTTGCTGCTGTTATTTTGAGAGGCTGCCTGGTCCTTGACCTGCTTAACAGCCCCCGTCACAACTTCGAATACAGTTGGTACATCATTAATCATCTGGAAAAGCCTCTTCCTGCCAAAACCAATTTCCAATAAAAGTTAGAAATTAGAATCAGAAATAGATGACAAATACAGACACTGGAGGACCCCCAATCTCCTGGCAAAACATGGAAAGCCAACATCCAAAACCGATACATTTGTTAAAGGCGGCAAGAAGACTAAATGCTGTAAGCTTTCAGATGGAAGTACAGCGATCAAAATTCAGATCAGTAAAAGCCAATCCTAGAAGCATGCAGGATGCATGGCCAAAGACCCAGATCACAAGTCTGGCTAGGATTTTTTTTTCCTCAAAATTGAAAGATGGTCCCCTACATAACGTTTTACTGCCAATTACAACAGTTGGAAAGTCTTGCACTTGTGCCAAGAACCAACCCATAAATAGAAATTCACAAATGGTTTCTATCAATGACAGCATGAACTCCTAGATAGTTTTGCAATCTACATCAGTTCCCCACTTCCCCTCACTACTTAAAAAGGACAAAAAAAAAAAACTCTATAAACAATACGATTGTATCTGCACAACACCAAAAAAAACATATTCCAATAAAAGTCAACGACCTCCACGATACTTTTTTACAAGTACAGAAAAAGCACCTTTCCCCATATGCAAAGTGATTCACCAGATCTTGATATACTGAATGAATAATATCCTCAATCTGACCTTTACATCGCAAGTAAAATCTTCTTGTGTTATGTCATTTCTAGAAAACAAGAATAACTCAACAGTGTAAAATTTCAGAGCAAAACTTTTGCACTCAAATTGTGTTTTATACATAGGAAGATTCCATTTGAAGACGGAAATTGGCTAGCCATAACATGTGGAGCCATCATGTGGAGACATCAATCAGTTTCATTGTGGACTGGTTAGTCAAGCATGATAAGGAAAAATGTTGGGGCATCACAATTATGTGTGAGTTTGACACAAAAAATTAATGTACAGGGAGGGGTCCATCGGATGAAAGCGTTCTCCATGGCTTGCAAAATTTTAGTGAAGTAAAAAGCACAAGAAGTATGCATAATCCAGAGACTTTAATTGCAAGTCACAGAAGAAAGTTTCAGGATGCAAGTGCAAGCAACGAGGAAAATTCAGAGGATGCATACATACACAAGTAAAAGGTCTGGTGGTCATGCCAAGAGTACACAAATAGAAGAACATAATAATACAATTCATGCATCAGTTTACCGAATTGAAACAACACTAGCTACAGCTAAGTTAAATTCATCCTAAATAGGAGAAAGGATACTATAGAATTTACGTTTAAAAATAGTAGAGGAACATAATTTCAGTTGGAAAGGAATCGACACAAGCAAAGCAATAGACTGATCAGAAATAAAAAAGAACAAAATGACTTGATCTACAGAAATCATTAATTTTACAAAGCATTTGGACACATCTTATAACACAATCAAAATGATAATTGTTCAATTAGCTAACCAAAATGTCGAGCTGAATTTATAAACCAAAATCTAGAGAAAATTATTCTAAAAAATGTTACTGTATGACCAATGTAGTTCACCAAAAAGGTAAGAGTACTTACCTTTCATTCTTGCCAAATCCAAAGCGTGCACCAAAGTAGAATGCAACAGAAAGCAGCCACGAGTCACTGTGAACTGCAACGAGTGATAACCAATCCTTCTCTTGCATGCCATCCCTTGCAAAGTTTATTCCTAATGCTGGCTCAGGTAGTTCAGGAGGAACCTCCTCAACAGGCAGGTTGACTTCCCATGTCTCATTTGGAAACCCATACAGACACAGATTCTCCTTTTCTGTACACAAAAATCTATGTAGTCAAAAACAACAATCAAATCCATATTAATTATTTGCATTTACTTCGTCAGAAGCAATATTTTATCATAGCTCAATCATGAACATCACGAAAGGGATGAAGGCATAATAAGGGTGTGTTTAATAGATATTATTGAAAAAAGAATGTATTCTAAATAGTAATATGATGAAAAATATGTGGTTAAAAAGTAAGGAAAAATTATTGATGTGATGAAAAATATTATTTTATTGAAGAATGTGGGGTTAAAAATGAGTTTTGAAAGGATGTGTACCAAACAGGGGCTAAAAGACAATCAAAGATCTATTCATTTTTTCATTCATAAAAACATTATTGTAAGCCTAATATTCATTTTTCAAAAACAAATAACTAAGCATTGATGAAAATTGACCAGTAAGAAGATACAAAATCATTAAATTCCATTTCTTTCACTCAGCAAAACACTCCTTCCTGACAAGCAAAAGAAAAGCATGCAGAGAGTTGACTTGTAAATTCATGGTATTTCTACTCTAGGATAAATGATAATGGGCACTTTACATGTCCACACAGCTGTTTGTTCTTGGCCAAGAATGGAAGATGAAATTCTATAGCAGCCCTCAGTAGCCATATAAATGGTCAACAAATTGTTTCAGATAAACACACCAATTCTAAAACCAAAGCTGGTCTAAAAAGTGCCAATACTATATAATGCATAGCATGTAATCAGGACACCATAGCAAGTTCTGATTTATTATCTTCAAATTTCAAATGGTACTCTTCTGCCTTAAAAGCAATCACTGTAGACTAAAAAATTGTTATCCCTGAGCCTCGAGGTGAGCCTTGCACCTCTCGCACAGGTCATACGACTTGAGATATTGCATCTTAATTATTGTGGGTTTGGATGGTAGGTGGGTTGTAACCCGGGGGCACTTCATTTACTTCTAGGTTCGGGTATCTTTCAAGCCCGTACCCAAAAAAAAAAAAAAAGGAACAGAGCTAGGCTTAAGTTAGAATATCAGTTTTAGGGATATCTACGTTGAGCTTGAGCTTCCTTATTTACTTCTAGGACCTGGGTACTGTTTCCGAACCCAGAATTGGAAAATATAAACATAAATACTTTCAGCTCAAGAGAGGAGTGAAACTTTGCACTTCTTATAATTGGGCTTCTTTATTTACTTTTGGGTTAGGACATACTGCATAATTCATAAAAATGGGGGAAAAAAAAAATTTACTGCTATTTTGTATCGGCAATGGGCCTGGAAAACTATCTTAAAAATACAGGCTTACACTATATAAGATGGCTGGTTTCTCAGCCTCAACCTTAAAGAAAGATCTTTTGTAATTGGGTAAACATCTTCCACTAGTGAAATGATTTTTGTCTTACGGGGTATAGGCTGTAACAGCAAAAAGTAACCAAGACTTGTGAAGTGCAGAGAGGCAAATTACTCTAGGAAAAAATTGTTAGGAGGTGTTGATGAAGAAAGGGAATAGGAAGACATTATTAGTAGTGAGGAGGATGTCAGGGGTAACATATGCTGATGACTATTTAGAACATCCTACCAGTGATGATGATATGGATGAATATTGAATTTTGCTCGTTGCTAATATTTTTCTAGGCTTCTAATTATTTTTTCCCAGTGTGAAATTTCTTACTAAACTTGATATTTATAACTTCAATGAGGATGTACTTTTCTTTTTTTATTGAGACTTTATGCATTGTTATAATTGTGAAATACATGTTTTCCATATATTCATGAATTCTTGTTATGAGACTTATTCCTCCCTCACGAAGGCAAAAACTCAAATATTACTAGCAGAAATAGCATAACCAGTCTAACGTAAGAGCGTTTAATAGACGTCTTATGATAGCCTAAATTATTATGAACTCAAAAGCATCATGAACTTTAGAAATTTTCTGATAAAACAGTGAAAAAATGCCAATCTAGTAAAGAAACCAAGCACTAAAGAAAAGAATTGTCACCAGACGATAATGACATAATCGCTCCTCATAGCAGCAAAGAGTACTGAAGGAAAAGTTATGCCAAGTAGACAAAACTTTTGATTCCCAACACCCAGGACTACAAACCTTTAGGGAAAAAATATTTACATCAGTTACATTCTGCCAATTTTCCATGGAGTATGGAACTACCGTCCAATTGTTGAAAACCAAACTACATTTTTCAACAGCTGACAGATTAAAGGGTGGAGAGACGCGTGTACTAAAAAATACATAACTTAAATTTAAAGCAGGCAACTCAATTGAAACTTTGCGCAAGATTCAGAACTTCACTTTCAGTGAAACGTGGCCTTCAGGTTTCCAATCTGGAAACAAAATCAAGGCAAAACAATCGAAAAAGCCAAAACTATGTACATTGTGAGCAGATAGTCATAAAAAAAATAGCAATTAAATCTGCAATAAATGCTCTTAATTCACAACAGTAGTTGAAAAGGCAATGGACAATAACGTGGATCTACACATGCACAACGGACCCAACTTTTTCTGGAGAAAAAACGAACTAATAACTTACCAGGATCACACTGCTGATAAAACTTCTCAACATCTGCAACCCCAATTCAAAGACGTGCATCAGAACAAAGGAACCACTAAATTTAATAAAACAAAAGTTGAGAAGAACAGAGAGGCATAGACACGTGTATCCACACACTCGTACATGTATAAACACGTAATCACATGCAGAAACGCAATCCATAAATATTAGTAATATACATACACGTAAAAAAATACAGTGTTAATTTACGGAAAAAAAATGAAAAGCTCCTTAAAAAGATATACCAATGGTGAGGGCTTTGATGAGACCAGCTCGACGGCCTTTGAAATCATTGAAGACTTCCTCTACAGTTCTTGGTATCGGAATTCCTTCCATTTTCCAATCTTCTTTACACTAATTAGAAAAAACACAAAAATCCCCCCCAAAATTAACGCCTCTTCTCGCAGAATTAAACGCAAATTAACCAAATCACGATTTTATGCAAGCGCTAGGGTTTCTTCTTCATGGCTCCTCAATGACTACAAAAATCACAAATTGAATTTCGAAAATACAAGTATAGATTGTCTAAGAGTGAATATACGCGTGAGTGAAAATCTGAGAGAGAGAGAGAGAGAGAGAGAGAGGAAATAGCGGGAATGAGTGAGAGAATGATTAAGCCCTAGAAATATTTTTGATTTCTTGCTCAATTTGCTGCCTTTAATTTATTTTATATGTATTTTCATTTTTTGCCCCTCTATTGTGTATACTTCGTGCAGAAATCTATTCGGGCGGCAACTTTGACTGAGCCCGAAAAATTTTAGATATGTCATCCTTTAAATAATTAAATTATTTGCTATAACATCATTTTTTGGTCACACATTCGCGTAATAAAATATTTTATATATAAAGCAATAAATTTTTCTTACTTTTTAAGCACACATTCTCCAAAAAATATTATTTAATAATTGATTATTCCCAAATAAATTCTATCAAACAGGCACTTACTTGTAAAAAAAATTATTATTTTTAATTTATAAGTAAGAGCCCGTTTGTTTCTCATTTTTCATCTAAAAAATAAAAAATATGACCGTTAACCATCACATCAAGCTATCAAATTTGAATTTATATATCTTGTGCGGGGTCCAATGACGACTATATTTTTCATTCTCATTCTACGATAATGAGAATCAAACAGGCTCTGAATGATGAAAGTTTTAAAATAAAATTTCACGAGTTAAATTGGAAATAAATGAAAAATATAGCCACCTTTTGACCCATGTTATAATTTTTGGAATGGTACTTTTTTAGAGAATGTGTAGTTGAAAAATACGAAAAAAAATTTAATTTATGTGTAATATTATTTTATTGAAAAATGTATGGTTAAAAATAAGATAATGAATAATATATTATAAATTTAATGGAGGCCAAAAGGGGACTTAAAAGTAAGTTCAAGTTACTTTAAAATGTGCTTTGTGCGGTTGGACTTGAATTTGATAAGTTTACTTATAAGTAAATATAGTTTTTGTTTGGTTCTCATTATTTTCAAAATATATTTTTCTTTCTCTTGTTTTCAATTATACACATTTTTCGATAAAATAATATTACACATTTTATCTTAGTTTTAACAGAATGACATCATTTTGTATTCGTAAGACCTAGATTTTCTCGTATAGTTTGGCATGTAATAAGTTTTTTCATACAAATTTAACTACATGAAGCTAGAATCGCTAGTAACCGTGATCAATTCATACAGTAGCAAGAGAATAATAAACTCCATTATGTCAGTATCTACCGTCTCAATCACATGAATTTAGTAGTGCCAATTTGTTTAGAAGTCGCGCCGATCAAATTCCATTTTTCATGACAAATGATAAACTCAATAAAATACCTTATACCCATGTCACGTTTTAATCATCTTGACAATATACCTTTAATTCTTTTTGTACTTAAAAAATTCTTTTATTCATTTCAAAAAATTTGTCGGGTAGACAAGTTTTTGAAGTACAACTTCAAACTCAATCACTCCATAGGATTTCATTTAGACCCTGTTTGGGAGGGATTCTCAAAATTCTACAGTAAATCAATTCTCATTTTCAAAAACACATTTTTCAATAAAATAATATTTTTCATCACATCAATAATTTTTTCTTCTTTTTCAACCACACATTTCCCATCATATCACTATTCAAAATCAATTCTTCCCCCAAAAATCCCTCTCAAACAGGCACTAAGACGCGCAATATTTTATTGAACTATTGAATGAGGCGACACCATACTTGTGTTCCATTGGTTAGAAAGTGCAATTGAATTGCAACAAGTAGGGTAAAATACTCATCACATCGATCTAGTTATTACACATTGGTTTATAAAATTTATTTCATATTTTATTATGAAAGTGTAATTTTGTCGAGCAAACTTAACAACATTGAACGTGTATGAAAACAAACATGAAGTTGGAGAGTCTATTAACTCAAATAAAATTTTCGACTTTCATTTGCAATTTGTTCTCTATAAGTGGCATTTCTTGATCATAATCTACAATTTTTTTTATATAAAAAGGAAGGATAGAGGAAAAAAATTTTATTACCAATTTTACCCTTACATATTTAGTTATAGGTCCGATATACCCTAATTTATCCTTAGGGCCTGTTTGATATCCTTAATTTTCCCTAAAATTAGGAATTTATTTTCCATTTTCTAGCTTTTGCCCTGTTCGATAGTAGAAATTTTTCATGGAAAATTTTTTCTCACTTTCTCTCACACGTGCACATTTTCCTTAATTTTGTTGAAATTGTTTTCCCACCTTTAAGGTGGGTTTTCGTTTTCCAGCTTTTTTTTTGGTTTGTAATTGGGAAAAATTTTAGATCCAATGGTAAAAAAATTTATCACGTTTATTGACAATTTTCATACAAAACAAAAGCAAACGAATGATATTCGGTATGGTAATTTTTTTAAAAAATTAAATTTTTTTTTTTAGTAAGTGAAACAAATTCTAAACTCAATGGAAAAAAAATTATCACTTTAATGGACAAATTTCATGAAAAATAAAGCCAAATGGACACCAAACTTTCAACATTTCAGGTGAAAAATTATACCAATAAAAAACAATTAATCACAATTCCCAATAAAACAATTTCTAGACAATTCAATTATCTAAAATTCATTTTCTTTCCACCCATTTTTCATATTTGCGATCAAACGAACCCTTATATCTTCAACTTTCCATTTTACCCTTACATTTTTATGTCTTTTGTCAATAATACCCTTAGAATTAAATTTATTTCAACTAAATACAATTATTATTGAAATTAAAATTATTTATTTTTAAAGATTAAGTCAATTAATTTCCACTAAACACTATTATTACTAATTATCAGTATATAATTAATAGAAACTTATATAAAAATAAAATAAAAAATATGACAATACTACATATATCCTACTACATATAAAAGAGCCAGTTTTTACTGTTCATGCCACGTCGTCGTCAACCAATACGGCGTAGTTTGTCCTAGGATAAATTGCCCTAATTGCTCTCATTGTAGGCAAAAAACCCTCCACCTCGGGATCTTTCTTCCAACCCTCTGCGCCCTCGTTTTCTTCTTCCTCTGGATGGTCCAGAAGATTCACTTCTTCTCGTTGAGTCCATCCTTCAGCTCGTACTCCGCCACCGCCTCCGCCGTCGACGCCTGAAAGGTATGTTCTTTATGCCTTAAATTGCA